CCAACTCAAGTAATGGCGAGACTTTCTCTACTTCATGTACTAATTCATTCTGTGACATAGAATTTGGACATAAATATACATACATCACGTATATATATTGTATCCTGCCTTTTTCTCTCTGACCTTGATTTTAAACATGATAGTTACTAAGTTGCAATGCTAGTCAAGCCACTTTTTTTTCTTCTATGACTTGGTTTTTATTCTGAGGGTGAATGAGTGACTGTAAGACATTTCACAGACATGTGAGCCACACCCCATGATACCTTAACATAAAGTTTTTCAAAGGACTAGTTAAAAGTCATAACTGGAACAAAGCAGAAGGGGCAGATATCTCCCACCCACCTTTCCTGTAGCTCAGTTCTCTCAGAAACACTGGCGTTATTTACAAAAACTATGGACTATGAAGATGATATGAAAAAATGCCAAGTTGTGCTGGCAGAGGCGTTTTAACCAAGCAGATGACTAGAAAGATCAAAGACCACCTATAAAGTCATTTTTATGAATACTCCTAACACATTAGGGCAATTTAATCACTTAGCCTAATTTTAAAAGTTGGAAATGCTCAATAGTAGCTGCTTTGACAGTAAGAAAAGAGCTGGAGGGGGAGAGGGAGAGAAAGCAAAAGAAAAAGTCAAAAGGAGATGAAGTAACCCTCTTTGCACTCCATTAAAGAGACATCTTCTGAGAATGAAAAACGAAGGAAAGAGATCAGCTCTTGACTCTTAAGTGACCACGGTATCTGGCTTCTGGAAGCGGGACCCTGCTATCTCCCACTATTGGGGGCAACACCAGAATTTCTATCTAGAAGTGACTTAGGAGCAACCACGCTGCCGGAAGAGCTGCTAGGAGCGTGTCCTGAAGCTGCCTTTGCAGAGCAAGCACATGGCTTCTACTGTAGAATCACATCTTTAATTGGGTGGCCTTGGGGCACTGATCAAAACTAGGGTGTCAGAAGCACCCTTCACATACATGCAACGCACCCTTTAGCTCTGATCTGCCACTGCGGTTTGAATACATGTTCCCCTCTTATATATTTTTATATATATATATAAAAAATGCAGGAACAAAGGAGATGGGAGGGTTCAATCTCCAGCACCTGCATTAAAAAATAAATAAACCTAATTACCTCCCTCACGACCGAAAAAATAATAAAGTGATGTTATTTTAAAAAGAAGAAAAAACCTGACATTTAAAAAGAATGTTTTTTAATTAATTAAAAAATAAACCAAGGACAAAGAATGGCCACAGCAAAGGACTCTGCAGTCCACACCCTGCACTCACAAGTCTGTGTGAACCAGGACCCGCGTGCTGACCCTACGTTTAATCTGGGTGGTTCACTTTTGCAGAAGTTGTCCCACCAACCTCCTCAGCTTGGGAAGAAGCGACCCTTCTTGAGAGGTTCAGCAATTAGGGTCTGCATTTATCCAAAGGAAGAAAATCAGATGTGAAATCAAACCGCCCCCCCAACGCCCGCATAAAGTCCTTTGTCCATCCTCTCTGCACCACCAGAAAGGCAGGCCCAGCACATCTGCCTCCCAGCTGCACAGCTTCATACTAGACAACCAGGTGGGGTCTTATGGCTTCTATTTGCAGCCACTGGACAGACTCTTTTATTTCTCGAAAATCCCTCACTACTCAGCAGTCCCAGAAATGCACGTCAGCTTCCTATGCCAAACTAACAACCTGCCATTTCAGACGCCAAGTTCAGAGAGTATTTAGAAGGAACGTTAAGGGAGCCTGACTTGGTAAGTAAGGGGAGGTTGCTCTTCGTGACAAACTGAAATGAGCAGACAGAGCTCCTCATATTCCAACCCAGGTGTGGTTTTTCTCTCTGCTGCTGAGTGCTGAACTGGCCATAAGTAGGCTAAAAAAAAAAAATCACTGGGAATGCTGGCGAGGTCCCTTGGAAGTGACTTTATACAAGGTCCAATCAATTCACCTGCTAGGTGCCAAGTACTGTGCGATGTGCTAGAAATGAGATACCAATGAACTCAAGAAGGTCAAAGTCAAGTGGGTAAGATTAAGAAAGAAGTCAGCAATGATAATGCACTGTGACACATGGTCTACGAGGTGTGTACTTAAGAGAAACCACATGAAGACAGAAAAGGCTACGAAGAGGACATGGTGTTTGAGCTGAGTTTTGAGGGGCGACTAGGAGAGCACCCACTGATGCCAGGGGGGCGGGGAGCACTGCAGGGGGAAGGAAGAGCGAGCACCAAGTCCCTGGACCACACACAGGTGTGAAATGCGCACGCCCCATCCATTGGGAGAACCCGCCTTCCAGCAGATGTCATTATGTGCCTCCTGTGTTCCTAAGCTGGGTGGAGGTGACGCAGACAGGCATCAGAAGTCTAGGTCTCACTGGACTTAAGCTGGACGGAAATCTGCCTCTGCTCTGGGCAAGAGCATCTCACGCAGAAGGAAACGTGAGCCCCACAGAATTTAGGAGCCTGAGAAACACAGAAACAGAAGGGCAAGGGAAGCCTTGGGGACAATGTCCGAGTCAGCACCGGCCGCCTCTGCTGGCCCTGCCTCATCCCTTTCATTGGATTCTCCCGGATTCCTTCTTCCCTTGTGTCTGCTGCCAGTGCACCCTTCCCCCGACACACACACACACTCACCGAAGACCCCACGGCTGACTTTACCCTAGACAGCCTTTCCCAGAAATGCCTCTTGCTCAAACCTGTGTGCCTTCCCCCAAAAGCTTCCATCCCTTCAGTGATGAACACCTCAGCCTGACGTTAAGGGGCAGATGCGAGAGGTGAGTGATTACAGTTCCCTCCCATCTCCCTGGGGACTGTTTCCTTCTTAACGGCACTGCTCGTCTTCAATTATAGGTGGCATTTCAGACGGTTTGGAAGGGATGCTTTAGGAAGAGGACTTGTTTCAGTGGTCCTTAGATCCCCCAACCAGACCCCCAGCCACGAATACACTTGGCCCTGGGAACAGAAAGTAGGAACTGCTCTCCCATCCGAGTGAGGGGACAGCCCCTGCCACTCTGTCTCTTGGATGCACTGATCTATGGTGAGCCCTGGGCTGGCCTGGCAGAATCTGTGTCTCTCCCCAAAGGGCCTGTTTGAAAGGGGCTATGGGAGAGCTGCCCGTGGCAAAGTAAGCACGGACTGGACTCAGGTCTGCCCTGACCTGGTCCCCAGCCACTGGAACCCCGCACGTTCAGCCAAGGACTCAGGAAGCCTGGCACCCTCGGTCAGAGCAGCTTCCTGTCCCCCTCTATTGCCCACCCCCTAACCTGGCTCAATCCCCAGTTCCTTCCCCAGGGGACCGGGCACTCCGGAGATGCTCAGGAAAACCGGCCTAGACTCTAGCATCCATCCCCTCTGCTGCCCACCAGGCGCGGCTCCTGTCCTTTCTCAGATTCTTAAAGGAATTCGATCAGGATTTCCTAGTGGCCTTCTGTTCCATCGGCCCTTATCAGTGGTGAGCCTAATTCCGTATCTTCTTCTGGGACACTGCCCTAACAAAGCCATCTGTGGCTCAAATCCCTCCCCAGCTGGGCCTCCCCTGAGTAGAGAATTTATCTTTTGGGAGCTGTACTGCCAGGCCCTCCTCAAAGCTGTGGGATAAATATCCACTGATAAGACGCGCCCACATCCCCGGGGGTGGCTCCTGCGGTGCTGCCCCGCGGGTGAGGGGTCCCGGAGGCCCCGTCCTCTGGCAGCTGGGTGCGGTGTAACCTCACCATCAATCACGAAGGCCAGCTTCGAAGGAGATTGTGACCAAAATCCTTCCAAACTGAAGGGCCAGGAGTCTGGAATGTTTTCACCTCTTTGTTTCTCCAGTTTCAGGAAAACAGACCAATGTAATCTTGAGGGTGAAGGGAATCTTATCAGCTGAAGAGAACGAAGGAAACCTCAGCTGTTTTGCAGCCTCTTTGGTTTATTTTCTGTGCAGTCACCCTGGTAGCCCCCACCGCGCTCAAGTCCCTTCCCCGTAAGCAAGCGGCTCTAATTAAACCTCTTCTGCTGGATAAAGGTATATAACCTTGGAGGGCCCATAAAAAAAGTGGGTTCACTCTGAAGACTTCAAAAAGCACGTGGTCCCCTGGTCAGGCCCTAGACAAGGTTAATTTATGTCGCCACTATCTTCCCCTGAAGGACTCTGGTGACTTCACATCTGTTCTCTGTCTGATCTTTGCTCGAACATTGTGGTGGTCTTGGCAGCTCGCTGTATCCAGTGGTCCTTTAACTGTTTCCTGCCCCCAATGTCCAGGCTTTCAGATTTGATTTTCTCTCTGCCTTTGCCCCCATAAAAGCTTTCAGTTTCCTTTCAGACGGTGGCCTAGCTGGTTCCTGTCCCCTGACTCCAGCATGGAGGGAATGTCCTGCTCCCCAGACTGGCTGACTTCACTTAGAGCCTGGGAAGCCCGGCAGGAGACAAAAGCAATTATTCTTTCATTTTTGAAATGGAGAGAAAGGATGATCGGAGAGGAGAACTTATGCAAGAACATGCAGGTGGCAGACAGCGCTGTTTCTCCGTCTGTGGTTGCAATTAGAATAGTTTTTCATTAAATAGAATAAAAATACTAGGCTGTATTACATTAGTAAGGGCATTAGTAAAACCTTTGCTTTATTTGTAGACGTGTGTGTGTTGCGTTTTCTGGGTCATGATTTAAAATTCACTTCTCCTATAAGCTGCAGCCAAGGCAGCGAGAAATTCTGGTGTAGAGCACTTGGAGCTGTTTCAGCCCTGCTGCTTTACCGTTTTCTATCCATGTGACTGTGAGCAAGTGCATCATCATCTCTGAATCTGTTTTCTCATCTGCAAATTGGGAGAAGGAGCCTTACGTGCCTACTTACCTCACAGGGAGGTTGAGAGGCCCCAGTAAGATAAAACATGCGTGAGCTTTAGAGCAAGGCCCTCTGCCAATCAAAATCCACCTCACATTCCAGGAAGGGCCTCACGGAGGACGCTCAAGTTCGGTACCAGCTGAGAGAAAGGGAATCACAGAGGAAGCCTCAGGCTCAGGAGTGGTTTCTGTACCTCACACATTGCTTCATTTATTCAGTTTATTTACTGGATGCCGGCTATGTGTATGTAACTATTTTAGTGGCTGGGGATAAGCAAAGGCTTTGCCTTCATGGAGCTGATGTTCTAGCTGAAGGAGCCAAGTGTTTATAAAAATGACAGTGTGTTATTTGAGGTTGAATTCTTTGGGGAAAAATTAAATGGTCTGTAAGTAAACTAGTGCATCTGTTACCAATTTTATATAAGATCCCATGCAATTTTTTTTAGCACATTTTGGTGGCTTAAAATGTTGGAAAATCACCGTGTAACTGCATTACTTTGGATTGATCTGCTATGTAAAGTACCCAAAGACCCATTTTTGCAAAGGATACCCTCGGAATGCTCTCCCCTTAAGAGCTTTCTGGGAGAATCAACCTCAGTTACGTAACCATCAATTTTAATAAAAATAAGTTCTAAATAAAAAATAAGGGCTTCTTGTCTACAAGAGAAGTAAACACATGGAACTTGTTACCTGAACTAGTTGTAAAGTCAAAACACAGACAAGTTCAAGATGGGCTTAGATAAATACATGGATAATAAATGCCAAATGCTCATTTAAAAATTTTAAAAGACATTATACAAACTATAGAGAGTTCTAAGAGCCTGTGAGAGCTCTTGGCTCCTTTGTGTCAAGCCAGTTGTTTATGCATCATCATCACCATCATCACCACTACAATCATCACCACCACCATCGTCACCACCATCATCACCACATCTTCATCACCATCATCACCACCACCATCTTCATCACATCACCACCACCATCATCACCATCATCACCACCACCATCATTACCACCAACATCATTACCACCAACATCACCATCAACAACACTATATAACTGCTGCCTGTAACTAAAGTCCCAGATCTCCAGCTTTTGTGATAATTTTTAGCAGCCAAGTTCAGAGGCTGAGAAACCAAACCTAAGGGTGGGAATCCTGAATTCCAGTTTTAATTTCTAAGTCCTTTCACATTTCCAAGGTTGACATTCTCCTTTGCAGAACCAGTCAGTCTCAATGAGCCTGGAGGCCACCCCCCTACCTGAGCATGTAGGAAAAACAAAAACAGAAAATCCCCAACATGACATTGTATCGTGAGATCCTATCCTTATTTGGGGAGAAACCAGTATGCTGTTGCCATGATGCCTTATGAGGTCACCACGAGCTTGTGAATTAACTGTGCCCCAAGGTCTGACCCTAGATCTTACAAACTCAGAGTCTTGAATTTGTCAGCACATTGAAGGCCGAACTGTTTCGCAAAGGCAGTGAATATTAACCAAACCGAGATAGATAGATAGATAGATAGATAGATAGATAGATAGATAGATAAAAGAATTGCAAATTTTTACTAAAAATGCTTCCCCCTCAAAAAAAATTATTGTCCCATGGT